TACATGTCTGCTTTGCTGTCATACAGGGGATCAACGAACGCTTTTCATTCCACAAATTTATTCTTGTTTTTCTCGTTGCCATGTTCCCACCAATAACGTAGCTCCATTTTCTGCCTTTAAAAGCACACACAACCCACAATTCCTCTATTCGCTCCGACGAAGGGCTAACGCTCGAAACGTCAGCTTTTGTAATCGTTACGGTGGCCAATTTACCACTTCAACTTTGTTGATATATCCAAATTATTTCGTTACTCCCACCGACGCAGCTCCAAACAGTTTCTTTCGAAACTATCAGCCTTTATTCATTTGCTTATCGTTACGACTGATGGAAATGTAAGACTATCCGGAGAGAATTCTCTTGCGAAATTCGATTTGTGGTGACAAGTTGATTGTACAGTTGGCGCCAGTGCCAGTACTCCATAGAGGCCGTTAATGTTGAGTTTCTCGTGCTGAGATTGTAGTGTAGCATGAAACAAACCAGCATCTGCCGGCTTCTGGACCATGCTTATCGAAAAATAAAGCTTTCCACTCAACGTCTGGATTTTATCTTGTCGTTGTTCCACGAAGATGGCTTGTTCGAAAGCCTTATTCGACGATGCACATTTACCATGATTGACCGATATAATTGTTTATGTACAGTTTGAAGTGGAAGAGTGAAAATAATTTGGAGTGTAAATAATTTGCTCTAGCGTCTTCCAGATTGTCACGAGCGTCAAACTTAGCGGAAAAGAGGGTTTCAAAGACATCACTCAATTTGTTAGTCACAGATTTCGCGAATTTCTAATTTTCGAGGTTCTAGAGGTACGAACAAGCCATGGCGTCACTTTTCGTTTTCTATCTTTGCTACTGTCATAACCGAGAACTTTCATTATTCCGTTTTAAATGGAAAGCAAAACAAACTTTGCAATCCCCTCTCAGCAAATGAGAGTAGGCGTTTTCTTTCTAGTTTTAATTTGCAGTCTGTGGAGGGAAATATCAACAATCTTTCTCACAAGTATAGGATAAATATTTTATTTTAATTAGACCGTCTGTCGTTGAATTAGAATTTAAGTCTCGTCCATATTTTTTCGATGTCTTGTTTACTTTAAAAATTATGTTTATCTTTATGGCAAAATTTATAGTTCTTCATTTCCTTCATAGTATAACTGTCAGTGTTTACAATTGTGGATCCAACAATGATTTCATTTTCCTTTCCATCGTCCACTGAGTTGTTTATGTTCTCGGTCATATCATCTTTTTAGGAATCAAACTCAGCGAGAAAAAAATCGCAGCACTCAGAGGTATCCACTTAAATTTTTCGCGGAATAAAGAAAGACCCATCGAGCGCACTCCTCGCGACTTTGCTGATGCGGTGTCAACTTCACCATCCTCCTTTAGCTCTTTAGATAAATTTTTTTTTCGATCAGTTTCGGCAAGGGTCCTGTCGTCTAAACATTTTCCTACCTGCATTCTAGAAGTAAAATTTTCATTTTTGTTTCTCAAACAACCACTTCCACAGGAAACAGTAGAGGTAGCCGGAAATTTTGAAACGCCCGTGACGGCCAGGTTTGTTTGTAACTCGCCCGCGGATCTGATCACGCGCGCCATCGCTTATTTCACACGCGAGTAATTTGCTTGCGTGTATCTTGAACTCACCGCGCGGTCAAAAAAATCCCTTTCGAGCCTCTTTGAAATAAAACCATCAAATAAAAAATCATGGAAGCAGGCTGGGAGATTCTCCAAATAAACCAGCGTAGATGATTGATTGTCCGTTTTCTCCTATAGATCGTATTTCACCGGTTGGTATGGAGAGTGGATTGATCTCCGATGGTCAACTCAGTGCATCATCTCAACTGGATGATAATCATGCGCCACAGCGTGCCAGACTGAATACCAAGATAAGTGGAATAAAACAGGGCGGTTGGCTTCCCCTTACAAATGACCGTGATCAATGGCTTCAGGTGGATGTTGGTAGTTACACTCGAGTAACACGAGTGTAACTACCAAGGAAGGGATGGCTATGACCAGTGGGTGACTTCCTTTGAGTTAAAATACAGTATTAACCAAATCACTTACAAGTCTTACAAAGAAGCTGTTAGAGGCAACCCCAAGGTATGCAGTGTCAACTAAATCAATGTAGCGTTGCCCTGAGAATTATTGGCATCATTAAAAATTTCAGACATAACTTTGAATATAAGATTTCATGACTTTATAAATGGTTGTTTGCACATGCAATCAGGCTGAGGCAGTGCTAATTTTCTTAATCGAACAGCAACGAATTTGAGTTAAGCAAAGGGAAGATTTCCAATTAAAGAACTTCTCTGACGTGCAATCGAGTATTTTCCTGAGCCCCACAAGTCTCCTCCAGAGTGTATCATTTAAATATATCATAAAAGGCATAGCTCTTTTCTTTATTGCCAATCATCCGCGAGCTTTATGTATCATTTTCTGTAACGCTTTCTGTGTTTTTCTCGCTTAGATGTTCACCGGAAACAGCGATAGTGAAACTGCTGTTTACAATATTCTCAAACCTCCAATCACAACACGGTACATAAGGATCTTACCAATAGCGTGGTATACAAGTATAGCGATGAGAATAGAGATCTACGGTTGTACAGGTAACGTTTCAAATGAAACAAATAATGCCAATAGACCTAGAAATAAGGATTACCTTTTACAATCCCTAAAACCACGAAATGAAAATTTATGTTAATGTAAAAGGATCAATAGCACAGAGCTAAGGATACAAGTGCAACGTCGCCCGAGAAATGGAATTATAGTCTGCGGATTCGTATAGGTAAATAAATTACAGCAAACACGCTCAATGTAATGACATTTACTTAATCTACTTCTTGAAGGTGCATGTCATTTCAAATATCCTTACCGTTTTATTCACCCACACGACACTATGGACATTTCGGACCCTAGTAGCTGCACCATGCGGAACAAAAGGTCCATATGAACCTTATAATAGCCTACCTCACTACAGTGTTCTCTAGCTTCGTAATACAGCGTCGGCGCGAAATTTTGGGATTCTAGGACTCGATTCTTCGAAGTGGAACCAGACTTCTTCTCTTTTCCTCACACCTAACGAGACGAATGATATCTTTCTCAATCAATTTACGTTCACTAATTACAGTGTGCAACACACCTCTTGGAATGGAAAGTGGAGCAATCAAGGATTCGCAAATAACCGCTTCTACACAGTGGGATGACAATCATGCTACATCAAGGGCCAGGCTGAATTTTAAATTGACTGGGGTAAAGAGGGGAGCCTGGTCATCTCGTGTAGTGGATGAAAAACAGTGGCTTCAAGTGGATCTTGGCAGCTATACCACTGTGACTGGCGTCGCAACTCAGGGGAGGAATGGACATTGGCCAGGGCAGTGGGTGACCAAGTACAGGTTGCAATATAGTAATGATGGAGTGAACTTCCATTTCTACAAAGAAAAAAGCGACAACTCGTTCAAGGTATTTTCGGTCTTACTTTCTATTGCTGAAGTTTGGCAACAAAGTGGGTGATTACAAGTGCGACAGTAAACCACGATTATGATAATGTAGAATTTCAATCGATGGCAAAAAAAGTTTAGTTTACTGCATATTCTAATCTCAATTAGTTTTCCGGAAGCGACAAACCGCGTTGAACAATACGGAAACTTGCGAAAAGGGGAAAAACAATTGAACTTGGGATAAAGAACTGAAACGTTTAGGATAAAAAAAATAACTCGTTTAGTTTGCTCACAACTGATAAAAGAATCAACTACCAACCCTAGAAAACGTGTTGAACAATGGATGCAAGGTTGAATATTCGACGATCTAGCCAAATTAAATGTGCCAGAGGCGGGAAAAACAATTAGAAATACAAATCAGATTCGTAACCAGTTAAGCTTTCGCTTTTGTCTTAATTTATTGAAGAAAATTACATTCATCTTCTGAAGAATCATTCTGTTGAAGAAGAATCCTCCTCGGTTTTCAGGCGAGTTATAATATTAAGCAATAAGGAACTTTTTCTGTGTTTACATGCTCACATCTAAACACGAAGAGGGTTGGAGCATTCGAGGAAGTTATCGGGGAAAGCTACCCTTCGTGATGTTAATTTTCAATGACAGACGTGAGTGAGTTGCAACAGCAACCACCATTATGATATTGTGTAACTTTGCATTTATAAAAATCAAAGTCATGTTGAAGTCGAGTGAATAAAACGATATCAGCTTTAAATCATCGTAAATATGACGAAAAAAATTTTCCACAATGTTTAGAGTATACTATTCCCAAGCGTAGGAACTTCGAGAGGAGGATTTAGACTATGCTGACATTGAATGTCTCTGTGGCTGTTGGTTTTAAAAGTGATTAAAGCTTACCCCCTTTGGCAGCTCGAAAACATGGTCGAGAAGTTGAATCGCTCATCGTGCTTTTTGAACTTTTGCTGGTCAGGAAATGTTCTGCTGTCCCATCTTGAATGTAAAAAAAGAAAGTTTATTCTTGCCAATTTGAAAGTAGTTTTTTTTTACGGCGAGAAAGTCTCTGAGAAAATGTCTGAAAAAATGTAAAAGCCAAAACACGGCAACCGATCAGCTGTGCAATGTTTGCTTTGAGAGAAATACAGAATGCAGCACATCGTTTGGTATGCATTTTCGTGAATATTTTGAAGCAAACATGATAAAGAGTGTCTTGTAGAGGATATAAGTGTACTGCTCAAATGCGAAAAATACCTTTAGAAAATTATGACTGCGCATTTTTCTTAATATTTTGCCATCTTTTCTTAAGCTCCCTTGACGAAGTCGTCCAGCCCACAATCATCAAGGCAGACATGGCGCTGAAGTTCTTCTTTCTTTTTTCTTTTTTTTCCTTGGTCCCAGGGGAAAGAGATGGGTAAAACCCTAATTAAACTTTGGCAAATTTCCTCCATTTCTAATATTTGTTGTTGTATACTTGAAATTACTTTGCGAGTATTGCAAAAGCTTGAGTTTGAGATGCCTCCAAATTGTGCAGGCTAAAAAGTGTGACGTTACAACTGTGTTTACGTATTTTCTGACCAATAAGACCAATAAGAGCGCGAGCACTATCTTAGTTATTTTATAAGAGTCATTGTAAAGAGAAAAAAAGATAGTTGTCACAGTTCCTCCAAATACAGTAAAAAGAATATGATTTTCTTTTCAGCTGTTTGATGGTAATCAAGACACCGACAAAATTGTATATCACAAATTGGCAAGGCAAATTACGGCACGTTACATCCGGTTCATCCCGGTGGCGTATAGCGGTCATATCGCTATGAGAGTGGAAATCTATGGCTGCGAAGGTATCATATCGGGGTCTATCTCATTTGCTGTTTCAGTAGTTGTATAAATTTCAATCTATTTCATATAAGTCGTAAACTTCATCTTTCAAAGTGTCATTCACGTTAGCTTTTATGAAATAGTTCATGAAATAAACAAAATGATATAACATTGCAGTAAATGGTTTGAACCCGGGGGTAACATGTGAAGGTGTAGTCTGATCGTCCGGGTGAGTGTAGTCCTGAGAAGGACTGTTGTCGGTGGCAGTGACTGACGTTTCGTACACTCACCCGGACGATCAGACTACACCTTCACATGATATAACATTAAAGGTTAAGACATTCTTAATAATAAATAATGGCTAAAACTATACCCCTAATTGCATATTTCTTGTAGTTTAGATTTAGAAAATATACTTGAATAAGCCCATGCATGAGGGGTAGCTCTTAAAGACCACGAATCTTTAATTACGTCTGTCAACTCTCTATAAGCTCGTTCTCTAAAAGCCACTCCTTACATAAGGTAAGGAATAGAGAACTAAAATATCGATCTAAGTAATGAAGTTCAACAAATCCAAGATTGTTTGGTTCATCCCACCAGATATATACAGTATCCCATTGGTTTTTTCTGTTTTTTCTTCTTCTTCTCTCCTATTATACCTTTATTTACGAAAAAAAAAAAATCAAGGATGCTTTTCACCGCTTGGTATGGAGGATGGAATGATCACTGATATCCAGGTCAGTTCTTCTTCACGACTGGATGACAATCATTCACCAAGTCAGGCCAGATTGAATTTTAAAGAAGAAGGAAATAAGGCTGGTGGATGGTCGGCTCAGATAAACGATAAAAACCAATGGCTGCAGGTCGATCTTGGCAGTTATACTAGAGTGACGCGTGTGGCGACTCAAGGGTTGAATGCCAACGACGAATGGGTGACCAAGTACAAGTTACAGTACAGTGACGATGGAAAAAAATTCCAGTATTACAGGCAACAGGGTGACAATTTATGGACGGTATGTCTAAGGTAGATTTCCCGTCCATAGAATACACAAAAGAAATAGCCAAAGCCGCTCTAGGGGACAACCAGTTCAATCCATATTTTTCCAACAAATTAAATAATTTGGATAATGTTTACCCTTTTTTTAAAATTTTCTTTAGAACTTTCTTTGTTGATTACATAGTTAAACTCTGATTGCAAATCAAAGGTAAGAGTAGTGTATGTCAGTCTTAAAGGCCCTTCAAAAATTGAGTTAATCCATGTTGCTCATACAATTTACAGGTGCTGAATGGGAATAAAAGAAGTGATGCAGTTGCATATAACAATCTGAATCCTCCAATCACAGCACGGTTTATACGGTTTATACCAACCGGTTGGCACAATAAGATCTCCATGAGAACTGAGATCTATGGCTGTCCAGGTATGGCGATTATCGATATGAGTTTAGAATGCAGTGGCCGAAATACGTTAGGAAATAATTAACTTGATTGACTGCGAAGCGTAATAGGACTTCAAAGACAGCTGTGAAATTGAGCTAACAAGCTCAAAATATATGAAAACTTTATGAACTTTCTTTCTTATGAAAAATATATGAACTTTCATATATTCATTGTATCTGATTTATCATCACGGGTTTATTACGAATCAACTTAACGGCCTGCTCCCAGTTGGCTTGTTAGCTCAATTGGTAGAGCGCTGCACTAGTATCGCAGAGGTCAGTGGTTCCAATGCCGTACAGGCCTGATTTTTTTCAGGTTTGATTTTCGCTTTTGCATAAATAGTGCTCTCTACTGCGAGGATCGTGCATCATACATTTCAACTTTGTTGATATATCCAAATTACTTTTCTGAAGTCATTTCGACTAAAATTGACCAATCCTTTGGGTGAGTACATTGGTATATCACAGGCAGTCATTTCAAAAGAAAAATAATTAGAGTGTTGTGTAAATTTTGGATAGTATATGTATCTGACACATATCTCTTACCAAAAAATGCAGCATGTATGACTTCCCTTGGAATGGAGAGTGAGGCAATAGAAGATGCTCAGATTAGTGCTTCTTCGCATCTGGACGGTAACCATTCTGCAATACAGGGAAGACTGCACCTTAAGAGAAATGATCAAAAGCAGGGTGGCTGGTCGGCACTCACAAATGACCGTAATCAGTGGTTGCAAGTGGACCTAAATGCTTTTGCTCGGGTAACGGTAGTAGCGACTCAGGGGAGACATGGATTCAAAGAATGGGTCACCAAATACAGTTTGCAGTACAGCGATGATGGTGTGACCTTCACTCTCTACAAGGAATCTGACAGCAGCTCAGGAAAGGTGTGTTAACAATTTCAGAGGAAAAATTTTACTTGATAGCTCTACTTTATAGAGTTAACTTCAAGAGATAAATCATTAAAAAGCAGATCGTTTAAAAACAGATTTAAGGATGAATTCTGCACCACTGCTGTGTGCGTTCCAGGGTCTTGAAAGGAGAAATAGATGAAACAATGTTTGAATCTTAGAATACGCCTTGAAAATCTGTCAACATTATACTTAGGTGTGAAGGTGTAGTCTGATCGTCCGGGTGAGTGTAGTCCTGAGAAGGACTGTTGTCGGTGGCAGTGACTGACGTTTCGACAACCTGTGCGGAAGTCATCATCAGAGTCAAGTGAATGATTGTTGTCAGTAGAATGTTCTTATTCCAGTTCGTGTGAAATGATCGGTTGGTTTTGCCGTGATGTTATTGGCTGTAAGACTCAAGTGACGTAAGTCGGTCGTGATTGGTCTGTTTCGGTCTGTCGGTAAAGTTAGGTTGTTCTTTTTCGGTCGTTTGTGATGTTTATGTCGTGAATGAGTCGTTTGTATGGGGCGGGTAGTTGTTGACATCTGTTTAGGGGAGTCTGTCCTAAGTTAGTTAAGCAGCTTTCCAGAGTCAGTCGTTGAAAATAGTCAGTGCTGTAGGTTAGGCATTGCGCAGAGTCCCAGTCAATGCTGTGGTTGGTAAGTCGATGGTGTTCAGCAATGTGATTGCTGACATCACCTTTCCTCGTCGCCCGTCTGTGTTCAGTCAGTCTTGTTGTGAGGTTTCTGCCAGTCTCACCGATGTAGGAGGCTTGGCAGATGTCAACAACTACCCGCCCCATACAAACGACTCATTCACGACATAAACATCACAAACGACCGAAAAAGAACAACCTAACTTTACCGACAGACCGAAACAGACAAATCACGACCGACTTACGTCACTTGAGTCTTACAGCCAATAACATCACGGCAAAACCAACCGATCATTTCACACGAACTGGAATTAGAACATTCTACTGACAACAATCATTCACTTGACTCTGATGATGACTTCCGCACAGGTTGTCGAAACGTCAGTCACTGCCACCGACAACAGTCCTTCTCAGGACTACACTCACCCGGACGATCAGACTACACCTTCACATGTTACCCCCGGGTTCAAACCATTTACTGCATTATACTTAGGTGTTTGCTGGAAATCAAGATTCAGATACTGTCGTGTACAACAAACTGACCTCACCAATAACAGCTCGGTACATACGGCTGATACCAATGACTTGGAATAACCACATCTCGATGAGGATGGAATTACATGGCTGCCCAGGCAGTTTGAAATCCTTATGTTGGTGAAGGGAAATTTTTTTCGAATTTAATTGGCCATCAGCAAACCGATTTTGAACATTAAAAAAGTAGTTCAGGTGTTATGCTCATGACTGGGCAGCGTAAAAAGGGCAGTCTAAGCGTCATGCCTTTGTTACGTAGTTCATACGTACTATTGTATTGACTCTTGGGCCACTTTTTCGCGTCGACTGTTACATTTTCACTTAGAAAATAGATTGAAACGGTGGGTATTTTGTTCCTAACAATTTTTCAAAGTTCTGATAAATTAGTGACAGAAGTTTGTGTCGCCCAAATCTGTGCGTGATCATACTGGTGATCACGGGATCTAGTTCGGACTCCCACTTCGCAATCGTCCAAATTCCCTAAACCGCATTTGTTATTACAGAAAACTTCGCTTTGAATTTTAATCTAGGATGTCTGTCACCGTATGGCATGGAAAATCAAAAAATTTCTGATTCCCAAATTAAGTCGTCTTCACAACTGGACGATAATCATTCCGCAAAGTATTCAGGTTACATTCAAAGGCAAACAGAGAAAATGGAGGAAGCTGGTCAGTGCTTAAAAATGACGCAAACCAATGGCTTCAGGTGGACCTCGGTAGCTACATACGGGTGACGGGCATAGCTACTCAGGGAAGGAATGGGCACGACGAGTGGGTGACAAAGTTCAGGCTACAATACGGTGAAGATGAATATGTCTTTCATTTCTTTGGGGATGTAGGAGATTTTGCTGCAAGGGTATGCATCGTGAAACGGTCTTACCAGATTTTAGTTATGAATGTTTGGTATTCTTAATGGTATGGGTAGTGAAAATATAATTCCGTTCTATCCCTCTTATCAACATCTCTCCAGGCTATTTCAACACTCCATTGTCAACTTTGAAGGGCAAAGACACAATATTCTCAGCAAATTCTGTTTCCTTTTGAACTTCCTTTGGGGAATAAGGAACTCAGATAAAATTTTTATGTCTAAATGGGAACACACAAAACTTCACGAGCTCTTTAGCTATTTCAGTTCATAAAATATGTAGGTTAAGCTTCCCTAAAAGATTCGTGGTCAATTAGATCAACAAAAATCCACCAAGTGGTAGACTGCTCTTCTTAGCGGAATGTTGCTCATGTAAAACTAACTTGTGGGGATTCTATGGAGTTCTCGGCTCATTTAGCATTTTTTCTTTTGCGTTGAGAAAAGTTAATGCTAAAGAAGACTTTATTCTTAAGGTCTTTTGTATTTTTGTATCAAGGTTTTTAAAGGAAATACAGACAGCGACACTGTTGTGCACAACACACTGACCCCACCAGTCGTAACGCGTTATATTCGATTCAAACCTGCTGAGTGGCACAATCGAATATCCATGAGGATTGAGATCTATGGCTGTTCTGGTATTTAGAATAATCTCACTTTTGTTGTGGTGATGCATTAAATACCAGGGTTTGGCATTTGTTATAGATTTTATACAGGTCACAAATTGTATCTATTATTCCTAATGCTAATCATTTTTGGGCAGGCTCTCTGTGGTACTCTACATGTTGTGAACGGCAACATTGTTCAATAGCAATTAATATAGCTAATGACTCGGGGCTAATCTGTTCATTATGATTTTTTCTGGCGTACTGTTAGCGTTTAGCCTTCTTTTAGCATTTGTACAGCATTTGTTTGCATTCTGTGGCGTTTGCAGCAAGCATGTGGTTGTTGGAGGCCTGGGGTCCTCCATGTCCAGCAGTACTCCTTATCAGTGCATGCGTTGTTTCCCCGTGTGCTTGCATTGTGTTTTCTGTTCTATATAGCGTGGCGTTCTCGGCGTTCCCTCGCTCCCATCTCCAACTGCTTGTTTTCTTGTGCAGGGGTTTATATCTGATTCTTTCTTTCTTTTTTTTTTTTTCATTTATTGTTTATTTGTTGTTTTTCCTCTGAGCCTTTGGACTCGGTGCCTGTAGGGGGCTTGGCGTGGGAGGCTCTTCGCTAGGTTGCAGGTTGGGTAGGCCAGTCGGGTGTTCTAGCGCCTTGGGTGCGACTGCGGTTGCAGCCCCTGGGCCCCTTGGGCACCTAACCTCCATTTGCGACTTGGGTGTTTAATGTTATTACAGTACACTACTGTAACAAGCCGCCATTATCCATGAAACAATGGCATCTATTTTTAACTCTCACCCTCTATTTTTTGTCCTAAATAAGGTTGTATAAATCCTCTTGGAATGGCATTTGGATCAATATCTGATATTCAGATAACAGCATCATCACAACTAGATGGCAATCACTCCGCATCACAGGCCAGGTTACATTTCCGAGCTGATGGCTACAAAGTTGGGGGTTGGTCAGCTCTCACAAATGACCGTAACCAATGGCTTCAAGTGGATTTTGGTAGGTACACAAAAGTGACGCGCTTGGCGACTCAGGGGATGGATGGCTACAATCAGTGGGTGACTAAATACATGTTACAATACAGTGATGATGGAATAAACTTCTACCTCTACAAGGAAGCCATATCCAGTTCTGCAAAGGTACCAGATATCGTAACCTTTTATTTTCTCTGCTAAGTTACAGACTTTTGCCAACAGATATCGTGCAGATGTCATTTACTGCTTCTTTATAAAGACGTAACACCACAGACAAAAATCTCATAAAGAACGAGGAACATGGTCCAGAAAGGAAGATCATCCATCTATTTATCCATCCATTTCTCTTTCACTCCCTCCCTTATTCCCTCCATCCATTCATAAATCCCTTTAGTCACGATAATTACTCCATACACTCGCTCAATCCATTCATCTGTCCATCAACTCATCCGTCCACTTATCCATTTATTCATCCATTAAGCCTTTTGTTCCTTCTTCTAACCTGATTAGTTTTTCTCAGTCAATTGTTGAACCATTCTTTGATTAGTGAAGCATGGGATAACATCAGTGGCCGCCTCACTGATAAACTTCATACGTTACAAAGTCTTGCTGCACGTGTAATCACCTCACTACCATCGGTTATCTACTGAGGAATTACTGAGTATGCTTGACTTGTCATATCTCAAGGAGAAGAGAAAAAACAAAAAGCTCTCATAATGTTTAAAATCATGAATAATATGACCCTAACCTAGTTAAAATTCTGTATTAATATTGGGAAATCGGTGTATAATCTTAGAACCTCCAGTAGGAATCTAGTTTTACCGGTTGTTAAAACAGACTACTAACGGACAGGTTTTGTTTACACTAGGACGAAAGCTTGGAATGTGTTATCACACGAACTTTGAAAATTACATTTAGGCTTTTAAGAACAAAACAACTTTTCTTTGATTAAAGTTACCCGGATCAAATAAGGTTTTCTATCTATTTGTCTATTCCTCCAACCATCTATGCATTCCATACATTTGCTCAATCCACCTACCTATCCATCCATCCTTCTATACACTCGCCCAATCCGATCCATCCATCATTAAATCCGTCCACTGACTCATCCATCTTTCCGTCCATCCGTCAATTAGTTCCTTTTTCAATCCATCCTTCCTCCCTATCCCTTTGCTCAATCTATCAATCCGCCATCCATCTCTCGGTCCATCTCACCATTCACGCATCAGAACGCATGCATTTATCTCCTCCACATCAGTCAGACCCCAAGTCTGGTTGAGCGAACCCAAGTAGCGTTCAAAACATTTCCTAACTTTTTTTTTATTCTTTGTCTATTGTCTAGGTGTTCGATGGAAATCAAGACCAAAATACTGTTTTCTTTAATGTATTGAGCCCACCAATACCACACGCTGCATCCGAGTGAAGCCGGTAGCCTGGAACGACCACATATCGATGAGAATGGAAATCTACGGATGCCCAGGTACACCTCTTGTTAGCATCAGCCCGGCATGGGCGACGCTGTAGAAACGATTTGATAAAACCTTTACAACAACTAAAACCTATTAAATCTACCATAGACTATCTTTAAATACTTAATTGAAAAAAATATATCGTGGAAACCGGATGAGAATTATTAACTTTTGGAAACGTAAAGTAACAGAGCAAACGCATCACACTCTGCTCAAACGAAGACCATAACTGTTTGAAGAGGGATTCACCTTCCACTTTCTCGTCCTCTTTCAATACAAACAGGTTGTGTAGCACCACTTGGCATGGATAGCGGAGCAATCACCGATGCTCAGATAAGTACCTCTTTAGAGTTGGATGATAATCATGCAGCCAGGCAAGGAAGGTTGCATTATAAGAATGTTTTTGGCACCTCCGGTAGTTGGACATCACCTAAAAATGATTTAAACCAATGGTTTCAAGTGGATCTTGGTCAATATACTACAGTAACTGGTATAGCGACCCAAGGCAGACCTAATCCACAGTTAGACCAGTACGTGACAGCATATAAGTTACAATATAGTGACGATGGAGTATCTTTTCAGTTTTACAAGGAGGCGCCACTCGAAGCTGAGAAGGTATACCTTTATAGACCCATTGATTCTATTTTTAGGACATCATTAGTGATCAGAAATAAACATTAAATTTGGAAATTGTGAGGGAAAAGACAAAGTAACCGAGTACTGGTTGTTCAAGATATGCAAGATGCAAGATATGCAAGATGGCGGTAGGCCACGTGGAATGAGGGCTCCGTACAATTTCAATAATTTTGTAGTTAGTTTTGGTTTTTTATGCCAATTTCAATCACCAATTTCCATCTAAATATGCTGTGCATAATTTTTGTTTGGGAAACTCCCTCGAGGCGAGTTATAATGTGATTCCTGGAGCGATTACGGGCCGGAGCAATGGGTCAGTTCGCCGCCATCATGGCTACAGTATGCCACAGATATTTTCTTCTTCAAGTGGTCTCATCAGGCACTCTGGCGCAGCCTTGCTTCTTTTGTATCTATCTGGCGATTTGGAGCTCAACCCGGGACCAGTGGAAAGGTCACGAGCAAACCTGAGGCATTCATTGAGGCCGCGATGTTCAAAGTGCAATCTTGTTATAAAGAAGAATGTTGGCTATGTTACTTGCTCGGAATGTTCGCTTCTGTTTCATCTTAAATGTATTGGTCCTCAATTTGATAAGCATGGAACTTGCTCCAATTGCGTGGTTGTTGCTACGATTGCAGATGTAGATGGTCCAGGTGTATATCAAGATATCCCTGAGTTATCTAATTTAACAAGTAAACGTGGCCTAAAATTTCTCCACCTAAATGTGTGCTCTCTTCTTCCCAAAGTTGACGAGATTCGACTATTTTTATTACGTTATAAGGACATTGATTTCTTTTCCATCACTCAAACACATTTATCTTCGCAAATTGAACTCATTCAAGTTCCAAGCATAAAAAATTGAATATCGGAACTACGCCAGGTACGACAAGGAAACCTTCAACAAGGATCTTCAGAGTGCCTCGTGGGTCTCGGTTCTATCAAGTTCTGATGTGAACCTCGCATGGTCCAGCTTTAAAAACATATTTCTTCAAATATGTGATCGTCATTTCCCTTTGGTAACTAAAAAAGTTCGTGGCAGCCAGAAACCTTGGATGACTTCTGCGATTTCTAACTTAATGTGAACCAGAGACTATTATTTGAGAAAAGGAAAGAGATCTGGAAGAGACGAGGATTGGTCTTCGTATCGGTCATATAGAAATCAAGTCACCGCTTCTATTAGAAGTGCCAAGTCTAATTATAATGGAAATCTGATTCAAGAAAATCTCGACGATCCACGTAACTTTTGGAAGTCTATGAACAAAATTTTACTTGATAAATCATCATCTAATTTCAACTCAATTAATCAATTGAAGTGTGATGGTCAAGCGATCACGGATAAAGAAAGTATTGCAAACCAATTTTGTAAATACTTTCAGTCTGAGATTAAATTACGAATCTCTGATAGATTCAAAAGGAGTTCTGTTGCTTGGCCGATTTGTTCCAAGTCTTCTTCAGGTAAATTTTATATGGCACCAGTCACTAATGGATTCGTTTGCAAACAGTTACTACAATTAAGGACAACAAAAGCAACAAACCTTAATGGTCTCCCATCTAGGCTGCTAAAAGATAGTGCTGTAACTATCAGCGCCCTTATAACACATATTACCAATTTTTTTATTACGACTCAGCGTATACCTCATGATTGGAAACATGCTAAGGTTATTTATTCCACTCTTCAAAAATTGGGTGAGGGATGACATCGACAATTACCGTCCGATTTCAATTTTGCCAGTGGTGTCAAAGATTCTTGAACGGGCTGCACAGCAGCAATTGGTGGATCATCTGGAGTCACACAACCTTTTTTCTAGATACCAATGTGGTTTCCGTCGTAAGTATTCGACACAGAGTGCAATTATTTTCCTTACTGACTCCATAAGAAGGGACATGGATGCTGGTCAGCTAACACTGAGGTGCCACCTACGTGGACTTTCGTAAGGCTTTTGACTCTATTGATCATAAAATCTTGCTTGATAAACTGCAATTATTTGGAATTCGTGATGGTGAGCATCGTTGGATGTCTGATTACCTAACAGATCGTACCTAATCAGTTTTCGTAGGAGGTGTCCTGTCCCGGCCTCAACAAGTGGTCTCCGGAGTTCCACAAGTTTCTATTCTGGGCCCTCTGCTTTTTTCTTTGTATGTAACAGATATGCTAAGCTGTTTATAGGCTGCTAATGGATTAATGTATGCTGATGATACCGTCATCTATTACGCAGCCTCAGATGCAAACCAGCTGTTGCAGGCGTTAAATTTCGAGCTCAATTTTCTCTTAGATTGGTCTACTAAGAACGATCTGTTTATTCATCCTAAGAAAACTGAATATGTAATCTTTGGAACTGCTCTGAAACGCAATCAAATTGACTCTAACAATCTTTGCAGTGTTTATTTAGGAGATCAAGTCCTCAATTGTAAGCCCTTCTATAAGTACTTAGGAGTATACCTAGAAGAGTCACTATCTTTCAAGGAACAAGTTACTCGACCGCTTAATAAGGTCTCTAGACCGCTTGGTTTGTTAAGTAGGGTCAGAAACAGTCTAAGGGTTCACGCAGCTGAAAGAGTCTTTACAACTATGATTCTCCCCAAGTTAGATTACTGCGACTTTGTTTGGAATAATTTAGCTCCTTCTAGATATAAATCTTTAGAACGGTTTCAAACAAGAGCTGCTAGAATTGTTTTAAAAGAAAGTTGCCTTAGTCACGAGCAGCTTTTGCGACAATTAGGTTGGATGTCCCTTAAGACACGTTCTATGGTCCGTATTTCAACTTTTGTTTTTAAATGTGTCAATAATATTGCTCCTGAAATGTTCAAAGAATATTTTGTCAAGTTATCACATAATTATTTTACCAGGCGTAATGGTCTTGACCTTTTAGTCACACCGAATCTGCTAAGAAAGGGTGCTTTTATTCTGGGGCACAAGCCTTCAATAATTTACAACCAAACCCGAAAGAACTTGAATTCCTATTAATGTTTAAAACAAAGCTTCAGGATTTTCTATATAATTAACTTTTAATTTTACTTTTGATACTACTTCTATGTATATACTTTCCCATAGTTTTTATCTTATTATGTATATTGTAATAGTTTTTAGGGCTTTTATTATTATTTGCTTTCTTTTTGTTTCCCAGGGCACCTATTGATAACAGCTTCTGCTGACGGGTTTACCCTAGTTAAATATGTTATTATTATTATTATTATTATTATTATTATTGTTATAAAGTTGGGTTAAGTTAACCCAGGGTTAGTGCGAAATATGATTTGAGAACTGAAAGCTTAAAAAGAAAATTCAGTCTAATTAATTTTTTTTTGTCCACAATTTGTAAATTGGATGGTTAGAAAAGAATAGAGAAAACTATCCCCAAAAGGCTTTCGAACAAAGGAAAAAAAGAAACCCCAGATCAAAAATTTAACCCTTGGTTAACGTTAATCGGCCTTCGAACAACTGGACCCTAGAAGTTTTACAACTGTTCTGATGAATAGCTCACTTTTCACTCGTCTCAATAATTTTGAATAGGTCTTCCGTGGAAATAAAGACAGAGAGACCGTCGTCTATAACGAAATACGCCAGCCAATCAGAGCACGCTATATACGAATTAGACCAGTGAGTTGGAACCAACCGATATCCATAAGGGTTGAGATCTATGGCTGTCCAGGTAATTCCCATATTCCATATTACTATTATTATTATTATTATGATTATTATTATTATGTTTTGCTATCATCACAATGATCACTGTTATTATCATTATCACTATTGCCATTGACACCATCATTAGGAGGGACTGCTCGTAGTCTATTATAACCAGGTTATGCATTTGTTTTCATTTGTGTCTTACTTGTACAAACAGTATTGGAAATGCTAACTAGGAAAGTGGTAAAAATTACCTGAACGTTGAAGGTGAAGTCACAAAATTCGCACGGATGACCTGTTGTCATCCTAACTTTGAGAAAGATAAGTTTTAGTTTGATGCGGCGATTAAGTTACCTTTAACAACTCACTTTGTTCGTAAACTAAACATTTTTCCAACTTCAAGTCCCGCGGTACAGTAGTTCGTTAGAAAATAACTAACTTCTAAAGGTATGGCCTCACTCAACCTTGAATCTGATAGGTTAAGTGGGTAGTATGGCATGAAAGAGCATTTTGAAAGCGATTCCAAATGTTAACACTGAATTTTATGGATTGCAATATCACTACGGGGCATTTTTCAATCTTTTTGTACCTATACCTACGATTTGTTTCTTTCGACATACTCAGGCTGTGTTACCCCCCTCGGCATGGAAAGTAAATCAATCTCTGATGCACAAATATCTGCCTCCTCACAACTGGATGATGATCATGCTCCAAAGCAGGCTAGGTTGCACATTCAAGCAGCCATTAAGGGTAAAAGTAGGGGGTGGTCTGCTCGCAAGAACGATCTTTATCAATGGTTTCAGGTGGACCTTGGAAGTAAAACAATTGTGACGCGTGTAGCAACACAAGGGATAGATGGACTGGATGAGTGGGTGACCAAATACAGAATACAATTTGGCTATTCTGGGATCAACTTCCAATTTTACAAGAAAGCAGAACATAGTTCTGCACAGGTAATCTCTTATCGCGGTATTCTAAATATGAAGTTAGGATAAATTTGCACTATTTCATATTTACCTTACGCTGTTACGGTCTGATCATCGCGAGGCCTATGAAAGTAAATGAGAAAACTTTCAGCCCAGTTTTACTAATTTGAATATTCAAAATGAGTGTTTGAGGGAAGAATGGATGTCTTAATGGATGGTTAGGTTGGTGAATGAGTTTGTAAGCGGTGTTTTTTCTGAGGTCACTTTATACTGACTCACCGAGAATACCAAAGCAAACCAAATGTTAACTACATTTCTTTTTTAAACTTGCTTTTAAAGGTTTTCGACGGAAATCAAGACAGTACAACAGTTGTAGTTAACAAACTGACCGACGTAACCAGAGCGCGTTTCATCCGGCCATTGCCGATAGAGTGGCACAAACACATATCAATGAGAATTGAGATTTACGGATGCCCAGGTATAATCAATTATCTCTGAAGACTCATGTTTAAAAAGTGTCTTCTTCAATGACATGACTATGGACACTAAAAAACAGGTTAAAATGAGTCTGAGCAGTGGCTTGTGGTAAGGTTCTTTTCTTAGTCCAAGTAATCAATTAAAAAGATGCAATAAAAAAGGTGTATCAAGTCAACCGCATGACTATTGTTTGCCCCAGTGAGCCATAACAATATTGGGCTTGAAGATTTCTCTCATTACGATTTGTACCAGTGTTTTTTCTTGGTACTTAGGTAAATTAGGTTTAACCATTCCCCCAAAAGAAAATGAACCTTTTTTACGATCATTATTTTGTATGTCTTAGACTGCATCGCACCTCTTGGTATGGAAAGCGGAAATATCGCTGTTTCTAAAATAACCGCATCCTCGATTTTGGATGACAAAAGCCCACCAAGCCAGTCCAGGTTAAATTATAAGGCGGACGGTGACTTTGGGGGAGGTTGGTCAGCTCACACAAATAATGCTAGCCAATTTCTTCAAGTGGACCTTGGTGCTTACACACGTGTGACACGTGTGGCCACTCAAGGAAGGAACGGATACGATCAGTGGGCGACCAAATATAAGGTGGAGTACGGTGAGGATGGCCAAAGCTTCCGGGTGTACAAACTATCAAATACCAGCGTAGCCAGGGTATGTTAAATCTTTCTGCACCTTAAAAAGGTAATTTTTTTAATGACTTATGTGTGTAAGGCTTAGAGAAAGTGCACTCAAAGGGAATGAATTTTGTAGTTCTTTTGCTTTAAAACAGTGACACAAATACATAAGATAATCGCAGCTTCAAAGTTCCTTTTATAATTCATGTCAAGAGCATTCCTTTTTCTGACAGGTATTTTGTGATTGTTTTCCTTGTCATTCCCTGAAGGTGTTTACTGGAAATCAAAACAGCGATGCAGTGGTTTACAACAGTCTGACGCCACCAATCACAACAAGGTTTATACGACTGATACCACTGGAGTGGCATAATCATATCTCAATGAGGATTGAGGTCTTTGGCTGTCCAGGTGCTTTAAAAGAACAATTGCCACTGATCATTCTTTAAATAAAGTTACTTAATATGAAACACTATATTTCCAGATATGAGCCCTTACGCGATGAAATATATTTATCCATGCTGTTACACAAACTAAACGTTATCTTGTTGTTGGAAGTTTAATCGAATGTGTTGCTAAAGTGAAGGGATCCAGATAACTTACCACCTAAAAACATTTACATTTTCAATCACAGGATGCGCTGCAGCACTTGGTATGGAGAATAAAGAAATACCTGATGCCAACATAATTGTATCTTCACAACTGGACGGGGACCATGGCGCAAAGAAAGCAAGGTTAAACTGGAAAGTAGGCGGGGTCAAGGGAGGGGGATGGTCAGCGTTGAACAATAACTTTAATCAGTGGCTTCAAGTAAATATCGGTTATAACTCCCAAGTGACAGGTGTTGCGACACAGGGGATGAATGGGAACGACCAGTGGGTGTCCAGATACTGGATACAATATAGCAGTGATGGAGTGACATTTGAATTTTACAATTCAACGGAAGACAGTTCAGCAAAGGTATGATTAGGGTTAGGTTAGGCGCAAGAGAACAAAGAGGCTAGTTGTCTGACTACATTTTGACTTGAGCGCTTATTTGAAGTATAGCAGTTAAATGTGGGCCCTAAAATGCTACAATAAAAATCAGGTCTCTTCTATTGCAGTTGCACAGCAAACGTATAATTTCTGGCTTTACTGTCTCAACACTAGGTATTCTATGGAAATAAGAACAGTGACACGGTTGTACACAACAGTTTGAGTCCACCGATAATAGCACGTTACATTCGCCTGATTCCTGTTGAGTGGCATAACCATATATCGATGAGGGCGGAAATCTACGGCTGCCCAGGTACAGCAACCGCTTCTTATCGCTGGAAAAAGACTCTTTGCCCGTAGTGAGATATTGGGTGCGATACCCACGAGAGTATACAATGGAAACCTAGTTAGCTAAACAATATTGAGATGCTCATAAGGGTGATTGATTTAAAACCATATATATGATTTCCGACTAATTTAATATATAGTACATTGTCAATCCATTAATTTTTTTTTTAAATTGCTGTCATTTTTCTACAATTTGATTGGGTATAGTGCACAAGCCTTGACAGGGTGGTTTTTATGTTTAAGTTTTTCATCGAACTATAGATAAATGGCACTGCTGAGAGCCAGTTAGATTGCACGGATTTTAAAAACGAGCAAAATAACCTCATTCTTCCCTACTAAACCTCAGCTTGTTTTTGCAATAAGTTAATGTGGTCCTTTCGGTTGTTGCCACGAGTTCTTGTTTCAAATTTTTAATAAGAGAAAAACCTGAAGCCTGAATTTGAAATTTTACTCTCACCTCCTAGTGGTTACCGACTCGCCAACTGTGCCAGCACCAGAAACGACCACAGAAGCTAGCACCGTCAGAGGAGCGGGAACACCCACTGGAAATTAAGGAAAACGAAAACCAGAAGGTGCCACTAATAGTAAATTGTAGTGGTATGGGTAGCAATCAATGAGAGAAGAGTATTATGTACCACGTGACGAATTTTAACCGGTTATATTGCAATATGATTGTTTGAACATATCACGTGCTACAAAATACTCTTTTCTCACTGGTTACTACCCGTACCACCGCATATTACCACTGTCCCTGAAACTGTTGTATAATCGAAGTTTGTTCTCGTCAGACAAAGCGTTAAGGGAAAGTGACCCCATTAATATTGCGTATGGAGACCCAGCTGTTTTTTTCGTCTCCTCTAGTGTTAAGAGCGAATGTTACCAACGGTCAAACATTTGGTGACAACAGACAAAAAATAGATTCGGCTCATATTCTCAAGTTAGTTAGGCCTTATGGTGAAATAAAGCACTGCACACTTCGTTTGGCTGAATATCGATTTATTTTTGAGAAAATCGATAATAACTGAATTTCGACCAAATGCCGCTTTTGAAGCTCAGAATTTCAGACAAATCTCGGAGCTTCACGCCATGATTTGAAAACACTTGGACCGATAAAAACTACCAAATCTTGAAAAACAACATCAATACATATGTTGACATCAATTTGAGCAATTCTTGATCGTTTATTTACACAATCTAATTGAATTTAACCGACCTTCTTCTAACAAGATTAAAAATAGGTCAAAAGTAACCCGTTATTTAACTATGTGCTATAAAAAATAATCGACTGAAAATCTGGCTTTTGGAAGGCGAAGTGTGGTTTTTTTCGTTCTCCAAAGGATTTTTTGGGGAAATGACTCAGTGCAATTTAATCAAATTTTAAAGTTGGATAAAATGAGCTGATTTGATGGCGCCGTCAGTTGTTCGAAAATGTTCACATTCATACACAAACTCAATTGTTTAAATTTTACATTCAATCTACAGCTTATTTAACATAATATCATCTTACCGTCCATATTTCTGTATCACAAAAGGGGATTGTAGTCCTAAAATTGTTGCATTGCTCCCTCAATAGCAATAGAACTTGGCAGGATAGTCAACACATCCTGCTAATTGTTGTTGACAAAGCGTATCTCGGGGTTTCTCTATTCCCATTTCGTTGAAATACTTCGCGTAAGAGATCTTTGTTTAATTATAAGTCTACAACCGTGAACCCAATGTAAGCGGTATGTTGCTAGTTCAGAAACATGTTTCTCGCTTGCAGAATAACGCTGATTAATTCAAAATGAGGTCTACTGAAATAAAACGAAGAAATAAAACATTGGACTATGAAGCACGTGGGTACGGGACCTAAGGTCATGTGTTACATATACGAAACAGGAGCAAACAATTATCTAACTCCGATCATAATTTAATGTATCATAATTGAATGTTTCATGGTACTTCGGGGGATAAAGCTCATTTTAGGACAAAAACGAGCGAAAGATCTGCAAAGGGCATAGCCCATCATACATCACTGCAGATGTGCGTCAAAGAAAAGTGTAGTGTTTGAATATTCGTTTATTTAAAGGAAGTTTTATAAGGGTCAAACCTGGAAAACCACAACTTTCGCGGAAATGTTTGTAAAAGCCAACGTTCAACAGCTTTATATTTATACTACTTCTTCTCCAGAGGCTACTGTCCCTTGTTAAGTTACTCGTGCCGGTAGTAAGACTAGGACCCAGGTAGCACGTTCATATTTTTCACACCCACCTTTTCCCGTCCAAAAAAGCTCACTTCTGGAAATGAAACCATTTCTGCGTATCTCGGAACTCAAGAAACGCTTCGAGTAATCACTGTACCAGCTGACTCGAGTGCGAGTCGGTATACCTACATCAAATACTTGCATTTTGGAAGCAGTGGCTTTGAAAAATCAACTCAACTAGTTAGTTATTTAGCATTCTTGCCCAAGAAGGTAGCGAAATAGTGATCTATCCCCCTCAAATATGATCGGGTCCAAAGCCATCAATGTATTATATGGCGAAATATTATAGAGCGTGGCTGATGCGTAATGAAAAAGTTAACATAAGCCTGTTGTCTGGTCAGACCAGAATGTTCACGCCCATCGGGAAAAGATTGACATCTAGATTTAACCAGAAAAAAGAAAGGAAACAAACCCACGTTGAGCCTATCTCCTTAAATCCTTCCTTCCAAGATAAATTTAAGAAGTGAATGGCTACTTCTTATAGAAGTCCAAAGCCAATCAATGCATCATAGGGCGATATATTATTGAGCGCAGTTTGATATATCAGAAGGAACTCTGCGCCTCGAACTAGAGCCTCTCGTTCACCCCAAATCAAGCTTTGCTCTAAGCGAGGGACAAATTGCCATGGAATGTATGTCAGCAGGAGGAAAGAATATGGCTGCTCGGCTAAGAACTAGGTCAACTTCGTCGTTTGGCCCGGAAAAACCGAGACTAGCGGAATTGCTCTCAATCCGCCTTGACCAGGCAAGAAGAGGTATAGTTACTGTTTCCCGTTTTCTAGATCGTCTGTCGAGGTCACAGTGTGCTCTTACTATAGTTTTGAACGAGCAGTGAGATATCCTTACGAGGAGAACGACACGCAATGCTGTTGCAGAGTTCACATCTTTTAATTTCTCTACAATTCATCTTATTAGTAAACGAAAATGCCAGTTTCAAGGTAATTTCTGTAATTAATCAAACAATCAATAGAGATTAAAATAGTAAGGAAGAGGAAACAAATACGATTCAATTTTTCAGCGTCTTAAAAAATACTTGTAAATTATTTAAAATCCTTACCTCTACTCGAGGCAATTGTCATCTCGACCGGTTCCTTCTTACACAAAGATAGCAGCAAGTGTTTCTATAGATACTCAGTGTGGTTTCAGCGATTAAAGATAAAAACACCCCTCTGAATTTCATTTGGTAGGTTTGACTGTAACTCATTTTTAATATTACATACCTTCAACAGAAGAAAATCTAGTAAGAGTGCAGGGAAGTTGAAAACAGTAAAATACAGTAGTATTGTAGCAAGCAGAGGTTTTAATCACCGAACTAGGTTTATCTTTCGTTCTTTTTGTCTTAAAAATGAGCTTTATCAACCTAAACAATAATTTACAAAATAAAAATATGAACTCAATAAGGATGGGACTTAAGTAATTGTTTGCTCCTGTTTCCTTTCTGTAACACTCGACCTTGGTTCCGGTAGCCACGTGCTTCACAGTCCAAAGTTGTATTTTTTGCGGAGTTGTCGATTTCTGTCGACCCTAATTTTGAATAATTAGCGTTATTCCGCACACGAGAAGCATGCTTCTGAACTAGCAATATTTCGCCCACATTTGGTTCGCGGTTTAGTTAGAGACTTATATTTAAACAAAGATCTCTTACGTGAAGTAATTACAGCCTCTTTTTTAACGAAATGGAAAGAGAGAAACCCTGAGATACGCTTATGTGTAGACAATCATAGTCAGGAGGTGTTGACTATCCTGCCAAGTTATAACGCTGTTATGGGAGTAATGAAACAATTTCAGGACTGCAATCCCCTTTTGTGGTACAGCAATATGGACGGTAAGATGATATTATATTAAATAAGCTGTAGATTGGATGTAAAATGCGAAACAATCGAGTTTCGCGTGTGAATGTGTACATTTTCGAATAACTGACGGCATCGTCAAATCAGCTCACTTTATCCAACTTTAAAATTTGAGTAAATCGCACTGAATCATTTCCCCAGAAATTCCTTGGCGATCAAAAAGAACCACACTTCACCTTCCAAAAGCCAGATTTTCATTCGATTATTTTGTATAGCACATAGTTAAATAACAGGTTGCTTTTGACCTATTTTTAATTTTGTTAGAAGAAGGTCGGATAAATTCAATTACATTGTTTAAATAATGATCAAGAATTGCTCAAATTGCTGTCAAATTATATATTGATGTTGTTTTTCGAGATTTGGTAGTTTTTATCGGTCCAAGTTTTTCCAATTCGTGGCGCGACGCTCCGAGATTCGTCTCAAATTTTGAGCTTCAAAAGCGGCATTTAGACGAAATTCAGCTTTTGTCGATTTTCTCGAAAATAAATCGATATTCAGCCAAACTAAGTATGCAGTGCTTTTTTTCACCAATAGGCCTACCTAACTTGAGACTATGAGCCGAATCGATTTTTTGGCTGTTGCCACCATATTATGAAAATGTTCGATTTTTGGCCACATTTACTCTTAACACCCATCTTTTATTCGGCTTCCCTCTTATAGCTCATAGTTTCAATCTTTTGATAAGAGAAAAACCTGAAGCCTGAATTTGAAATTTTACTTTCACCTCCTAGTGGTTACCGACTCGCCAACTGTGCCAGCACCAGAAACGACCACAGAAGCTAGCACCGTCAGAGGAGCGGGAACACCCACTGGAAATAAAGGAAAACGAAAACCAGAAGGTGCCACTAATAGTAAAATGTGGTGGTATGGGTAGCAACCAATGAGGAAAGAGTATTTTATACCACGTGACAAGTTTCAACTGGATATATTGCAATACGATTGGTTGGAACTTATCACGTGCTACAAAACTCTTCTCTCATTGGTTACTACCAGTATCACCGCATACTACCACTGCCTCTGAAGCTGTTGTCTAATCGTAGTTTATTCTCGTCAGACGAAGCGTTAAGAGAAAGTGATCCGTTGCGTATGGAGACCCAGCATTTTTTTTCTTTTCCTCTCGAGGCATCATCCATCTTTTATTCACCTTCCCTTTTATAGTTCATAGTTTTTGAATTTTGGTCAGAGAAAGGATGATCCGTGTCATTCTCAGATAGAACCACACCCTACGGCAGACTTATCATGACCCGAGTTCGAGTAACACGCAATGACGTGTGTATTTCCTGCACTCTTTAAGATGAGTCAAGGTGGGTTAAAAGTTCAACTGGGGTCGCGAGGAGTGGTCTTTGTCATACCTCCCTATTCAAATTTTGTGACATGACGAAAGAACGTCTTCCTTTTTAGCTCTTTCTTTTTGGTATAGGAGGGAAACCAACTTCTTCTTCTTCTTGAAAGTTTAACTGGCAGATGCTTTCATCCTTTGATAGGTGTCAATATACTTGCTGTGGTGTTACCCGTGGTATTAAGCATTATTCTAATTGCTGCCTTGGGAGTATTTTACTGGAAAAGGTGAGAACAAGCACTTAACGGGGGAACTCGTTATATTAAGCGACTGCAAATATTTTCATATCTTGGTACTAAGAAATGAATATGTTTTAGCCATTAACAAGAATTCGCAATGCTCACATGATATTAACATTATGCAGAGACTAGAACCTTCCTCATGAGTTTCATTTCTTTTTATGACTTTATAAAACTACTTTTAAATAGGAGAGCTCAAAAGTATGTGGACATCAAATCAGTCTCATTTCAGACGTGAGTACAAATCACATTCAGTTTTGCCTGTTTGTTTGCTTGTTTACAATGACAGAAGTCTCACCGACCATTTATTTAAGTCCAATGCGTCGCATTCCAGATCTTTTTAGGACTTTGGTCTCCGTAATCATATACTGTTCAACTCATCTAATGCCCAGATCTCTATTTGCATATTTTTAAATTCGTTTCCTGCACTTGGTGTCTTTACTTACGATTTTTTTTGTCATAATTTTAATTCCTAAAACGAACACTGGTGATGATTGATTTGATTTCTTGTCAGCTGTAAACCTACCGTTAAGAATCGTTATCGCAGTTTTTCACATTATCCTTTTTTATTGTTCCCAGGGGAACCAATGAGTTGAACTATTCATTAAACAGAATATACGATGATGGGTAAATATCTAATTCAAAACTCTAAGAACTGCAGCACTCTGGTATGAATGTTTACGCTTGTCTCACTTGGCTTGTAATATATAACGTACAATACGTCCATCGAACTCAGGAACACGCAACGCATTATACTTCTTCATTAATAGAGTACATTTGAGCAGAAACGTTTGTGAGAAGCAGAAGGCAATCGAGAGGAGAATAAAACTAAATCTGGAGAGCACATGTTATCTTCCAGCTACCATCCGCTTCTCAAAATCATTTGTGCCCAAGCTCTCTATTAAAGTCTTAGTTTTAGTTTAATTCATTCGCCACAGGAATGGTAGGAGAAAGGAACAGAACTTTCGTTCCAATTGACACTTAACCCCTATTTTACCCACCCATCCCACCCCGGGGAGGACATCCATCACACAGTAATCTCGTGTGTGGGAAATTAACGTCTCCTACCCCAACCCTGCAGGAGACGGGACCTCCATTTATCGTCCCTATCCGAGAAGACTAGAAAGTCTAACCATTTGCAGATATTATTACAAAGGCAGCACTTTCTTCTCAGTTAAAGACCCTGAGTGTTAGTCCGGCCGGATTTGAACTCACGACCTCCCGCACAACAGTCCGGCGCTCTACCAATTGAGCTAACCGGGAAGCGGTTAAAGGCAGCCACTCAGTGTTTTCTCTAATGTTTATACTTTCTTGTAAAGTAATGATATTTTAAAACAACACCAAATAGTTGACAATTATTTTCTGACACTCAACTGGTAATTTCTCAGGCTTTTACACTGAAAACTTAAAATTCTCAGAACTGCATTTGTGAAGACATATTTACGGTGCTATTAGTTTTTGCTTTCTGATAGGGCCGGTGAGGTGGTGTACCACGATTTTTAAGACTGAGGACTCCAGCACCGAGGATATGTTTTAGCCTCCCACTGTTTTAAAGGACGCTAAAGAAAAAAGAAGAAAGGATAATTAAGTGTAAATATCCTCTAAGGATTCTAATCATTTTCCCTATTAATAATCAAAGTAAAGAACATCAAGCGAAAGTAACATATACGGTTTTTTTATTAGCTAGAAGATGATAAGTAAGTGAACCCATTTTTCTTTGTGTAAATGTGAACAGATGGTCTATTTGAGTTCGTTGCTGCCCAAACGATGTAAGTTTAAAACGGTTGATGTTTACTGGCTTACAGAGTGTTTTTTGCTTGACTGTCGTAAACACAGAACCAAAGTTATCCGATAACTTTGGCAACAGCCAATCAGAAGATAAAAAAAATACGCTTAATAACTAAGGAGAAACCAGAGTAAAACCAACCTTACTTCCTAAAGCGCGGGAAAACGCGGGTGACCAACTCGTGATTAGCTTAAGTTTTACATCTGATTGGTTGGGAGAGTAGCGCGAGGTTTTGGACCAATCATAGAACGGAGCAGAGCAAAACTAATGGACACCCCGGATTATTTTTGAGGCCCCATTGGAAATTGCTCCAATCTGAAAACCTCACCAACAACAACTCGTTGTTTAACTGAAACATATAGCTCGCGAACTTTTTAGTCTATTGGATGAGTATCATAATATGATTGTCCTGATTAAATTGTTTACTCAAGTTTGAGCCACCTCTATCGTCAACAGTCCTTCTCAAAATTACCCTCACGCGGACGTTCGGACCTTTACCCCCTGTTCAAACCATTTACTGTATTATCGCTCTTTTGGTTTGACATTCTATTCTGCAAGGGACCTCATCGCCCTCCATATGTCTCGAAAAGTGGACTAAGGTTTCATAGAAAGTTAAACTGGACATTTTCTTTACGTCGGTAAGCTTTTTTTAAAGGTTCGCGTATGCTTGATATTCATAGATCAAAGCTCTACTTAAAAAATCATAGAACAGCTGGTGTATTTTTTTTTTCTCAGTGTACTGCTGAAGCTAATAGCTCAGAAAGTAATTGCACTTAATAATGATAATGTAATATTGGGAACAGTATGTGTAAAGAAAAAAAACCGAGCCAATGTGATCATTCAGTGGTTGGATTTTCATTTTGAGATGATGTTTCTTTTTTTATCTTTCTTAGCAATTATTTCGTCATCGTTTTCGTTATGAACCGATAGACCTCTCATGATGTTGCATGTTTATCACCCTCTCCCAGGAAAAAGCGCCAAATTTCATGACCGTCAATCCTTTCTGTTTGTATGTATGTATGTATGATATCATGATCTTAGATATGCCACAAGACAAACAGTTCAGGTGAAACTAAAAAAGAAGCTAGCGTGAAACTTTGGCAGCTTTCAAATGGAGAAAAATAGTGAATTCCCTTGTAATAACATGTGTTGCTCTGAGTTATCAGTTTGCAGGAAAGCTTTAGTACAAAAAAGTATGGCAAATTGGAAGTTTGATACAATTAATAGCAATATTCTGAGTATGCTGTAATTTAAATTTCATGTTTTCATAAAGAAAGCAGCCACGATTTTAATATTAAGTGTGTATAAGTTACACGCATTTAGAGATACGTTCAGAGTGTTCTAATTTACAGTATAAATCTACGCCATTTTTTCTGGTCGCAGGATAAAAAGGATAATATTAGAAATTCGTCCATTTAAATTAAACAAACAGATGATGGTTTGCTTTCCCAAATAACCGCTTAAAGCTAGAACTGCGTGACAGGTGTAGCCGAGAGAAGCTTTCACAGTCGCAGAATTGAAAAGGCATTGAAGACAAAAATACGGCCGTGCCCAAAGATTTTTTAATGCTTTTCAGAGATTAAATGAGGGACTAGAAAGGGACATTCAAATTAGTGTTGTAGCTTTCTGGCAAAGGGAGGTATTTGACCTCAAAGTTATCAAATAAATGAGTGAATCGAAAAGTTTGCAAAAACACTAATTTTTCACCTCTGTCGATTGATAAGCTGTCCATAAAATCGATTGAAACTTGTATCGTACATTTATTAAGGATATACCAATATGTCTGCAAACCGTCGCAGTAATTTGTACCGTAAAGAGTTAAAAAGCTGACGTTTCGAGCATCAGCCGTTTATCAGAGCGAATGGGGGAATTGTGGGTTACGTATGGGTTTATATGCAGAAAGTGGAGCTACGCTATCGGTGGGAACATGTTAACGAGAAAAACACGAATAAATTAGTAGAATAAAAAGCATTCGTTGATACCTATGGGTATTTAACTGAGTGGTTGTGAGGCCCACTAAACTTGACCAATTTGTTAGTCCTCAAATTGCAAACCAGTCATCACCACTGAAACTTCAAAACTGTAGTTACCATTCCAGAAATCTTTCATTTTCCGATTCAGAAAAATCCGTTGTCAGTAAGGGCTGAAATTTTGTTCCATTTCTAAAACAACGACCGAATTTTCAGTTAAACGAGACGTAGAAAAACTACTTCTGACAGAGAGGATGATTCTAACACTTCGAACAAAGGCACTTTCGAAACACTTCAGATTCGAAAGTTTAAAGGAACTCCCCCAGGGGGCCAGTACGCATCATTATATTTTTTCATCAAAAAATGTCGCCGTTATATTAACAAACTTAATTTCAATCGTAGTACCAAATTTTCCAACCTTTCCTCTGAAGAGTGGTCGGCACTAGAAAGCCTAAAACAAGGTAAAGACATTATTATCAAAGCGACCGACAAGGGCGGCGCAGTAGTTGTTTGGCGGACCGACCTCCACCAAAAAGAAGCTTTGCGGCAACTTTCTGACACTTCTTTTTAACAAAAGGTTGAAAAAAATCTCACTTAATCAATCAACACACTGTCAAAAATACGATTAACGAACTCATAGCTAAACAAGAATTGCCGGCCACTCCGAAAAATCTCATAATAACCACTTCTAGCACTTCTTAAATTTACTTTATTTACCTAAAATTCACAAACCTAACGACCCAGGTCGGCCCATTGTCTCGGCTTGCAGTTGCTCTACCGAACATATTTCCAGCTACTTAGACACAATTATGACTCCCATTGTTAAAACGTTACCACCATATATCAAAGACCGTCCAACATGCTCTTCAAATTTTTCGCGACTTTAACTTTCTTGGCCAAGACAAACCTCTTTTCACTATAGACATTATATCTCTTTGTACTGCCATTGCTAATGGCGAAGGTCTTCTGGCAAAACTTGTCCTTTCATTCAAACCGCTGAGACAATATCGGGACCCAAACAATCCATTAGGATCACTGATCACTTCACGTGCACCTCCGCTAACGTCATCTATAACTTGCATAACTTGCACCATGCAAAACGATATACATCGGCGAAACTGGAAGACGAGAACACCTTCACGACATGGAAAGGAATGACAAAGATGCATCAAAACCAGTCGCTAGACACTTTAATATACCTAATCATTCTAAGCAACGTATGGCAATCTGCGGTATTTCCTAACATTTCAGTAGCTCGGAAAGCCGCAAAACCCTTTAAGAAAAGTTTATCTTTCAAATCGGCACTCTTAACCCCGCGGGTATCAACGAACGCTTTTCATTCTACTAATTTATTCGTGTTTTTCTCGTCACCATATTCCCACCGATAGCGTAGCTCCACTTTCTGCATGTTAACCCACACGCAATCCACAAGTCCTCTATTCTCTCTGACGAAGGGCTAACGCTCAAAACGTCAGCTTTTTCAGTAACTCTTTACGGTGACCAATTTACAATTTTAACTTGTTGATATAAGCAAATTATCTTGTTCTCAGCTTGTCTGTCTCCGATCTGATGATTGCAGTTGTGTTTGTCCATGTGTACATTATCAATCATTATGCCAAGACCGTCATCCTAGGTTATTTTGTGGCCTCCGTCTTTTCAGCAATGGTTTTCATTCTTCGTGGCGTCACTTACGGGCGCTATATCGCGTTGACACGACCGTTTCGTTATCGAGCGATTATTAACAACAAAAACGTGTCCGTTATCACGGTACCCCACCTCTATTAGAGGCACTGCGTCACTCAGATAAGACTGACTGGATAATGGGCAACACCCTAACAAAAGATGCTGTAGGATACTCGACATCATGCTTATTGGGCGAATTATACAATGTATGCATTTTGTTTTAAATATTTTTATGTTTTACAGGAAGAGTGGGAAAGTTTTAAACCAAGACTGACTTGTACGATAGTTAAGTTCGAAATCCCGTTCAGAAGCCATAAAGAAAAAGGAAGACCTTCTTGCACTGTAAAAGAAATCATAAGTAGTTCGAGATCCATGCTGTAAATTACGGGCCGAGTTGTTTCCATTTCAATTCATTGCCAAAGCAAGAAGCACGCGGGTCATAAATGCGAGCGGATAAAAGAGGTTCCTTACTAATTAACTTACCGTGAGAGTCAAGAAACCAGTCAATACGATATTTATTATACATCTGGGTTCAAATGGAGGGGAAATATCTAAAAGTTAACTTTTCACAGGTATCAAGTGAAGTTCCCTTATTGATTTTGGTCGAAACTCATCAATGATATTTCTTCTCAATATAGGTTGGTTTTAAGATGAAAACCGAAAACGCAAAGCAATCCTAAATGTGGATTAGATGCTAATCAGCATCTAACATAACAAACACTGGCCCGTACTTTCAGTATGTGTTCCGCTTGCGTCATACGCTGTCTATTTTTATGACAAAGATATCTCGATAGAACACCAGAACTGCCCCTGTATTGAAAGCATAATATCTTTACTGTAGATTGTGTTGATAATGCCTTTCACTTAATCACTTCATCTACACCTAAAAGAAAGTATTAAAACAACAACAAACATATGAAACATATGTGTGAACTGCGGTTATGAGACGTATATGAGAACGATCCTTCGCAGTAAAGCACTATTTGAGCAATAGTGAAAATCAGACCTGAAAAAAAAATTTCAGGCCTGTACGGGATTCGAACCACTGACCTCTGCGATACTAGTGCAGCGCTCTACCAATTGAGCTAACAAGCCAACTGGGAGCAGGCCATCAAATTAATTCGATATAAACCCGTAGATGATAAATCAAACAACAACAAACATATGAAACATATGTGTGAACTGCGGTTATGAGACGTATATGAGAACGATCCTTCGCAGTAAAGCACTATTTGAGCAATAGTGAAAATCAGACCTGAAAAAAATTTCAGGCCTGTACGGGATTCGAACCACTGACCTCTGCGATACTAGTGCACTAGATTTTCACTATTGCTCAAATAGTGCTTTACTGCGAAGGATCGTTCTCATATACGTCTCATAACCGCAGTTCACACATATGTTTCATATGTTTGTTGTTGTTTGATTTATCATCTACGGGTTTATATCGAATTAATTTGATGGCCTGCTCCCAGTTGGCTTGTTAGCTCAATTGGTAGAGCGCTGCACTAGTATCGCAGAGGTCAGTGGTTCGAATCCCGTACAGGCCTGAAATTTTTTTCAGGTCTGATTTTCACTATTGCTCAAATAGTGCTTTACTGCGAAGGATCGTTCTCATATAAAGTATTAAAACTCGAAGATAAAATTTGTGAGCAAGTGCGGTATATAACATGTAACATCCCTGTATTTGATCTTCGACGTGTTTCGTGGGATGTACAGCACTCGACTGACGTCCTTTCACAGGTTTGATTTTCGTATAAAGCGGGCGATTTTGAGAGAAACTGAAGATGGAATACTTTCCTCCGGGTAAACTGAAGGATAACATTAATGCTGGAATTTAGGGTTAAAATTTGACCTAAATACCACTATGGGGGCTCTCCAGTTGTGAATTAAGCCTCTCGATTGTAAATAATCTTTTGTAAATCACACGAAATGCGTTTCGAAAGTAGATGATATTCTTTTTCACCTTTTCATACAGTCTATTTAGAACCCAAAAAGTTGCCTCAGGCAAAAAAAATGTGCCTAAAGCAGGATGAATTGTTAAATGTACAACAACTGTGTTTTATCCCAATTGACGTAACTGCGACATAAACGCTGGAAGCTATAAACAAATTAGTTATTACGTGACTGGTTAATGGTGTTGGACGAAGTCACATACAGGAAGACCAAGCCGCAGTCAGTATGACGTCATTCTATTCTCAGTGCCCATCGGCGTTGGAACTTTTGAACTGGCTTTTAGCTCATTGACTTAATGCTTTCAATTAGTTGAGCGAAGATATTCTTCTTGTCGGCGCGTACTTATCAGGCTTGTACATGTTTGTTGATAGGGCGTTTATGCAGTTGTATTATTGCATACAAACTTTGAAATCCAAACCCACTGTCAGACGAAATGGCTAAAAAAGTTATGCTTTATAGGGTGGCATCATATACATATTTACAGAAGATCACGTAGGGAATTTTCACCGCCCCATTTCATTTTCAACCAAAAATGACGAGTAATTTAAAGTAAGGACCAATGACACCGGCAGTTCCAGGTTCGACGCAGACGGCATGTTTCGTTTACGAACGGCTTAGGAAAAACTGAAGCATTGGTTTGCTTTTTTAGATGAAAAGGAAACGTAGAGAAAAGCCTTGACTTTGATCATGAATCATCATTGGTATTCCTTCTCAATACATGTTGGTTTTAAGATGAAAACGAAATGCAAAGTTTTCCTAAATGTAGATTACATGCTAATCAGCATCTAACGTAACAAACACTGGCTCGTACTTTCAGTATGGGTTCCGCTTGCGTCATACGCCATCTATTTTTATGACATAAATACCAGAACACCAGAACATCAGAACTTCCCCTGTCGTATTGAGAGCATATTATCTTTACCGCATATCGTGTCGAGGAATATCTTCGGCACACTAATCCGCTCAGCCTACCCGTGAGATGATATCAACACTCGAAGATGAAATTTGTATCAAAGCGCCGTCGTGCGCATGGTATCCCCTAGCTCTTTTATCTCTGACGGGTTTCGAACGATATTAGGGACCTTAAGAAATCACGACGGCGACGCCAAGGAAGACTTTGATTAGAAAAATGAATTTCTACTCTTAGTTAGAATTTCAAAAATGGCTGCAGGAGCTTAATGTCTCATATAGTGCCACAGCTCAACTTCCGCATGACGTATAAAGTAGCCGTTGAGTTGCAAAATGGAAATTAAAATAATTTGCCGTCGCGGTTTCGGTTCGCAGACGACACAAATTTTGGCGATTTTACCTTGTTGTTTTGCATAGGACGGCTATGAAATGTACAAAGTTTCAAAACGCGCGTGCTGAGCTACTGTCCCAGGTTTTAAATTTCGCATAAAGTCGGCGCCTGCGAGACAAACAGAAGATCAAATACCTTCTCCGGTAAACGATAACATTAAAGTTCTACTCAAGTGTTATAAGTTTATCTATGTGGCATTAAAGGGGCTCTCCAGTCATGAATCCCGTGCACGTTGTGAGATTGCACATGTTCCATAGTGAGACTGAAGAAATTCTCGAAACTGCAAAAAAATTGTTGATCCCATTGTGAAGGATAACCTCTTGACATCCGTCTGGTACGTGAGTCGCGTTCTCCTATCGGGTGATGACGACCTGATTGTATAAAAGGTAAACGGATATGGGCACAAACACACAAACGTGTGGTAACATCTTCAATAAGGAGCTCAGGATGTTGCTTTGGAAAGCTTTAAGTTTGATTACTCTGCTCAACAGTTGTTTATCGGCAGGTAAGGTTTTATTGAGCAGCGTCAATTTGTTTTCGACTGTTAATCGAATGCCTTTCCAACGGAATAGTAATATTCTTGCAACTAATTCTTCAGCTGACAACCTTTACACAAAAAATTCGCCACTCTATCTCGGGATTCATAAGAAAATGACGAAGTGTGTCAGTGTATCAAAAGCTCTTTCGGGCACTTCTCTAACTTTCTTATTGTAAAAGGGTCTCAAGTCATACTCTTTCGGGGTCTTAACACGCGAGCGACTTCTCTGTGTAACTTCACTGACATCCAGAATTCAAAACCCTCCGCGCTGCTGTCGTTCGAGCATTTCGCTTTTTTTTTAATCACGTTACGTTGTGATTATGTTACGCGCTGATTTTGTGCGAGCCCAACAAGAAACAGTCTGCGGCATCACCAACATTAGAAATTCGCGACTATTCGCGTCATTATCGATCGAGCCAAAACAGTTTTCCGATTATAGGCCTTTTTAGATTGTGCTAAGAAAAGTATCATATTGTGCCACTAACATTGCTTTATTTTTCTCCGAATTATGCTTAAAACAATGCTGGTTTTTTTAAATTATGCAACTTTTTCTTACTTTATGCTTTTCAAATAAAAAGACACAAGATAAATTTAAATTATATATTCATTATTACTAAAGCATTATCTTTATTTTTGAGTTAGAAACTTGCACTGATAAAACATAATTAACTTGTAAACTTAATTCATCCTAGAAGCAGTGACAAAATGTAACTTTATTTGACTCCACTCTGTTTCCAGTGAAAGCGGTAACCGGAAGTGACGCAATCTTTACTTCCGGTGTTCCTAGTCCTCTAGACAACGAACGACTCAGTATTTCTGTAACTTTATTCCTCCAAGACATTGCGATTGAAAACAGACTAAACAATGGAATGAACTTAATTAAACTAACTGTTCGGTTTGATTGCAGCTTCTGTTACAACTCCTGCTATAGATGTATACATTAGAAGCGAAGGGTGCGAAGATCCAAGAAGGACACCGAACACATGTGGAATTGCTTGTATCAAGGTGAACGACAAGGATTAATCCCGTCGCGGCAGAGGACTTAACGTTGTTGTTTTGGACGGTGCAACAGTTATGTGGACTTCTGCAATTATATTTTTTCTCGCATTCATTTATTATTAGGGAAATCTCGACAGAGGGAGCGCGGGTAAAGCTCTCTGGCTAGGCAGAATCTATATGGCGTCTGAGAGCTTGCCAGACTTGTTTTTATTTCCTAACAGAGTTATGAGCCAAAGAACGAGCATTGTCGAATAATCCCCGAGAAAAATTCGAGTACATTTTTCAACCAAAAAACCAACATGAGCTCATGTTGTCATGTGCACACCCAGTTATTTATTGAGCTTAAGACGAATGGTGTTTCAGTGCAATTTAAGAATTGAACAATATAGAAATAGGCAGTCAACATCTCTCATTTTTGGTTAACTGAATTATTTCTCTCTCAACTTTGACTGTTGTATTCCATTATGATTGCTGGTTCCGATTTGTTTTACTCGATCTGTATAAATCTTCGCTTAACTTCGTCGTCTTGAACTGAGTCAGATTTCTGTTCAAGACTTTTGTACTTTCTTGATTCGATACAAAAGAGGACTTTAAAAGCCTGGGTCCGCAGTAATTGGCCTCAGCTGTTGCGGTGTCCCTGCCCAAATTTTAAAGTTATTATTTAGTGTATTGTTACGTTCTTGTAAAATCTCTAAAATCCATGGTACTTTACCAATTTCTTATTACTAGGCTTGTATTTCCTCAGTTTTTTTTTTTGTATTCTTCAGGGCGAAGCTAATAAAATAAATTAAAAATAAATAAAAACTTTTTTTTTTATCGTGTACAATTCCCTGTTCTCAAACCAAGCCTTTCTTTTTCTCTCAGGTGTCATTCTTGCTTCAATAGTATTCGACACCCATGGGAAAAGATATGCCGATGATAACCTGAGGGATTACCTCAACAGCATCAAAGGAAAGTCAAGTAATTTTATTTCAGGTTAATAGTGTAGTTCTATCATTCTAGTCTTAGAAAATCATACCTTTAAAATGATGCTTAACTCTTTGTAGCTCAGGTATCGTATATAGTTCAAAAATCATGTTTCCTGAACAGAAGACTCACCAGTGTACAATTTCTGGACTGAATTAAAGCAGTTTGAAAACGTGTTTTTGCTTTAGTGTGAATGGGACGTCTTATTTTCAACACTGAGCAAGGTTTGTGTGAAAAGCTTTGTTCATTAGAGAGTATTACCTGGTTCAACAAGTTGCTTCACTTTGCGACTGAAACTCCAGGCTTTGATATGTTAACTTGTTACCAAAACACTTGTCACGAGCTTGGCTCGTGTTAGAAGTCGACCACCAACAACTAATCTTCTAATTTTGTCCCATGGATTTGATGTTTTTCCTTACTTTAGCAAAATTGTTTTGATCGCCGTTCAAGACGAGGGCTATCAATATACCTCATCGGCGATTAGCGCTCTTAAGAGGCTGGGGGCTAGCGGTTCTGTTCGAGGAAGTTATCGGTCTTCTTTTGCTTTTGCTGGTTACGCAGGCGTTGGACAACCAGCGTGGGTGATAGAACAGCCGAACACAAGATCTCTTGGGCCCAGTGAAATAACTCTGAAAATTCCCCTTTCATCAAGTATGTCAACTCAGTATGGTCTAATACTCTAAATGTCTATACCTTTGCCCAAAATGTGAATCTTAAAGATCACTTAGTGCCCCTTTGCTTTTATAAGGTGCCGATTTGTTTCTTAAGATTTGTATATTGTACAGGTGGAAGAACAATAGGACACGTAGTCCCCTACTAGGTTCATCCACCTAAACCCAACCCACCCATCCCACCCCGGGGAAGGACATCCATCACACAGTAATCTCGTCCGTGGGAAATTAACGTCTCCTACCCCTCCTGTAGGAGACGGGACCTCCATTTATTCGTCCCTATCCTAGTAGACTAGAATATCTAACCATTTCTTGATGTTAACAATCAGGTACTCTACGGCAATCAAGACAGTGATACAGTTGTGTATAACAAGTTGATCTCCCCAATCACCGTTCGTTACATCAGGGTACTGCCAGTCACGTGGCAAAACCATACATCACTCAGAATGGAGCTCTATGGGTGTCGAGGTATTTCATGAGATTATTGTCAGCGGAACAGAACAATCCACGTGACACTAAACAATCTTAAAGAAGGAGGAAATAAAAAGGGAAACCTTAACTCCAGTGATTATTTTGCATTGGGATTGACCAATCGTTACTCTCTTGCTTCTCTAATTAATTCTAAGAGGTAGTTGTTGAAAGATGTAAGGGATTAGGTTGCCAGAACCTTGAAAGGCGTTGAGATATGCAAAAAGTCACCTTTCCAAGCCAACACACATGTAAGTTCTTTGCACCCGACAGCATCATAGTCAAAACACCACGTGTATCTTTAGCTAAAGTTATTTACCCCTCTGTGTAAAGGAATGTCCATTTTTCCTTACTTTCTTTTCTCAGACTTCTCGTGGCAAGAAGGGTGTCGATATAGTTTAGCCTTTTTGTGGGTTCAATTCGTTTGGCAATCAGGTCTTGGTGCGCTATGCACATAGTAGGTTGTTTACATGATAGTCCTCCAATGACCTATGACAGGTAGACAGACAAGTAGGATTTCATTATTTAGATATTTTAGGCTGGTTGACGTATCTATCCATGACTAAAAGGAGGTGTAATGATGAAATAGGTGTGTTTGTTTAATGTGGTGTGAGATGTGGTTTGTGTGTAGGCAGATCCAAAGTGATTCTACGGGCGCCTAGATGCATGTCTCTCGCACGAAACACGCCAAAGGTTTTTGCTAAAGAATAAAGCTGGGAAATGAGACAATCTTATAAGTGTTAGTTTGAATTGATCATGGTCATATCGCAATGAATTTTATTCTTCAATTTGATCCGGTGGGTTTGTTTGCTATTTTTACCCCAATTGGCTTTGAACTAAGTCACTGATACGTAAGGGAAGCTAAACATTTATTGTTTCAATCCTGTCTGGCTCGCGCAAAAATTATGTAAACCTCCCCCAACGCGTGGCTGCATTATTAATGGCTAATGCCTGAGGGGTGAAAGAAAGGTTCATTGGGAAGGGTTCGTGGGAAGTTTTAAAGGGCGTGCGTCCAAATCGAGCCAAGTCCATCATCTTTCGATAATTAAGCAAACAAAGTAACCGTGCCAAGTGAACCTTAATATTCCGTTGTCAAAGGCGAAGACAGGGGTTAAATTTCCGGCTCAATTTCAAGTGGTCCTGACTTAAAGTGCCCCTGAGATCAAAATTGTCGTACATCCTTTTTTTCATTTTTGACTTCAGTGTGTCTCCTTCACATACTCTGCCAAATTTCAGTCTAGACCGAGTACCAGAACAATCTTTTTTCGGGCCGTTAAATTCGCGATTTCGAGTCCGCCATTATTTGACCATGTTCCGGAAGTTGATCGCAGGACTCAGAGGAAGTGACGTCAAAGTATCAACGCAAAAATATCGCATGGCAAAATGTCAAGCAAACACAACAGAGTGGTTTACTCTATTCTTACAAAAACTAATAAAAAATGACGAGGCATCGATGCGTAATTCAAAGCTGAAGTAATCGTGCAGACCGTGCTGCAGGTATTTCTCTGCATTGGAGCCTTGCAAATAGGTGAGAGCGGGAAAAACGGATGCGATTTGCGCGAACTCGCCGAGTAAACTTCAATCCTGCAGAAATATTTGGGATCTGCTCCGAAAACGTCTCGGAAGACTGTTTCGAGAGATCTGTGTAATTTGAAGGGCTAGGCGAAGAATTCTGTCGGGTTCAGTGGCTACCGTTGAAAAAAATGACAAGAGAAACCGTCCTCAGTGCGATCTCTCTGCCACTCACTGGATTTGTTCTCGGTTGCCCCTAGTTCAACTCCTTGGCTGCGCTCTGTAGCCCACTGGTCTGCCTCCTGCCAGTGGGGATTTTTAAGCTCTTAATTAGTCTACATCGTGGCTGAAAAGCCCCTAAGGGGGAGCCTCAATTAACGTATATTATTATTGTTATTATTATCTCGACGAAAGGGAAGCTACGAACCTCCTTGGGTTTTGTCACCTATACATGTGAGTTGATCATTATCTGCCTTTAACAACTCTCTGGCAGAATACCTTAGACAACCGCCTCCCGGTTAGCTCAATGGATAGAGCGCTGGACTGTTGTGAGGGAGGTCGAGGGTTCGAGCCCCGGGCGGACCAACACTCAGGGTCTTAAAATAATCTTAAAATGCTACCTTTCTATAACATCAGGAAGTGGTTAAATATTCTAGTCTTCTCGGATAGGGACGAGTAAATGGAGGTCCCGTCTCCTGCAGGTTTAGGGGCAGGAGACGTTAATTTCCCACGCACGAGATAACTGTGTGGTGGATGTCCTCGCCTGGGGTGGGATGGGTGGGTAACAGGACCCCCGTTGATACCAGTGTTTACGTGTGTTAAAGATCGTACTCCTGATGCTCTAAAATCCATCGTACTTTACCAATTTTCTTGTGCGGGTTGTAATTCCCGTTACATTGGCGAAACTAGTCGCCACTGCTCTACTATTTACTATTTGAGTTCGTTGCCGTCTAAACGATGTAAGCTTAAACTGTTGATGATTACTGGCTCATGGAGCGTTTTTTGCTTGAGTGTCGTAAACACAGAACCGAAGTTACCACAGCAGCCAATCAGAGGATAGAAAAAATACCCTTAAGAACTAATGAGAACTCAAAGGAAAACCAACCTAACTGCCCAAAGCGCGGGAAAACGCGGGTGACCAAGTCGTGATTAGCTTCAGTTTTGCATCTGATTGGTTGGGAGAGTAGCGCGAGGTTTTTGGACCAATCACAGAACGGAACAAAGCAAATCCAATGGAATCCCGTATTACTTTTGACGCTCAAGTGAAAACTGCTCTAATCTGAAAACCACACCAACAACAACTCGTTATTCAACTGAAAAATATGGCTCGCACACATTTTAGATTACTGGATGAATATCATAATAGGATTGTCTCGATGAAATTTTTTACTCTAAACGTCAGTCACCTCTATTAACAAGAGTTCTTCTGAGAATGACCCTCGCCTGGACATTAAGAGAGTTAAATTAGGCATTTTCTTTACGTTGAATGCTTGTTTTAAGGTTCGCGTCTGTTTGACATTCATAGATCAAAGCTCAACGTTGAAAATCACAGCGCAGCTGGTGTTTTTTTTTTTTTTTTTTTTGCAGTTAACGATATTGCAATAGGTTACTACTTTTGTAAATTAACGACACTGTACTAGATGAATGTCTCGGTATCCATGTGGAGACTATTTTTCACCTGTTAAATTTTAATGGAAATTTCTCAAAAATGCGCAGTTAGTATGGGTAATCGCATGGGGCCGAGTAAAATTAAGGATTAATATCACTTGTGTTTTCTGAAGTTGCTGAAATTGCCCCAGTCACTTCGCGACTCGGGCAATTTCAGCAACTTCTGAAAACACAAGTGATATTAATCCTAAAATTTACGAGGACCCATTGCGATTACTTGTTAATGAAATTGAGGAGAAAATTACTGAATTTCTGAATGCGTTGTTCAGTAATCAGTCGGCATAAAACTGCGCCAGTGTTCGGTCGAGGACATCGCTCTCGTACTCTTCTAAATTTGCTTGGAAATTTCTTTCATTCACCCACTTTTTAAAAACGTTCTTCTTGTACTCCGTGCTTTTCCTCGAGTTTTCGTTTTCACTCTTGTCTTTTAATTCTTCGATATATTCCTCGTCAACTATCTCGAAACGAGACGCCATTGTTACAGAAAATATTCAGCAACAACTTTTCGATAGCAGAAGCTGTTGCTAGGCAACCTGAGTACCAATCATGAGCTAGTAATTTTGCCCTCTTCTCAAGCAAAATTAAGAAAAAATACCCTCTTCATTGACCAATCAGCATTCAGAAATTTTGCCCTCTATTTTATTATTGCAGTAATTCTACTCCTGAAGCCAATAGCTCAGAAAATGACTGCACTTAGTAATAATAATAATGCAACATTGGGAAGACGGGCGCGGATCCATACCGGTTTCCACCGTTTTAAGGAAATCGGTCACATTTTCATTAAAAAATAGATATGTATATATTTTTAATAAATGTAAACTGTAAGTTGAATCTCGAAAATAGTTTTGAAATTTATTTTTATTTATTCTTTTTTGCCAATTATCGGAAATAGACAAGGGTCATATTTTTATTTTATTTATTTATTTATTTTTATTCAATCTTTATTTAAACACGATCAATTTATCAGCCTATAAAAATACATATCACATACGCTAAGATATTTAAAATTAAAACTACTTACTATAACACTAAAGCTGTTTTCCGTGAATGCCGTGCGTTAGACTTAAAGAATGTCATTG